GAGGCCCGGCCTGTTCCCACCAGCTTCTTCATGGGGGCCGTTGGGGACGCAGCATTTTCTTGAGGGAGGTCATAACTGGAGTCTAGGGTGGAGAGCAAAAGGGTGAGGTGGGTTATGGCCAAGTTAGGGACAGCAGGATCATGCTGGACACTGAGGAAGAACTTCAGGAGGAACAGAGAGTAGAACTTCCATATCCTTGGTATTTTCTAGGGGAAGCTGGCCCCTGGAAGGGCATGGTAGTTGTATGGTTGGATTACACATGTATATTTTTAAAAAGTGATTAATATTGGTTATAGCTGCTGAGTAATTACAATTGAGTTTTGATATTTCTATATTTTCTTTGGCCCTTCATAAAAATTACCCTGACACATATTAAAGGGGTAGGGAAATGGTAGACTTTATTAAAGACTATTGTAATCGAAGTGTTGCAGTTGGGGGAGAGAGAGCTCAACAAGGGGAAGTGGGGATTAATAGTCAAGGAATAGAGTAAAAGGGTTGGTGGATGGAAAATGACTAAGAGGAGACATTAAGGGTAGGTGGATTGCTAGACTAAACTAACAGGATTCTTGCTAAAGGCAGGCCAGGGTGATTGGAGATCAAGGGTCAGGGGAGTTCTCACTAAATGGACTTAGCAAGATTTTTTTTCTATGACTGCACTAGGCTAGCTGAAGAGAGGACCCAAGGGTGAGAGCCTAGTGGAAATGAAGGCTCAAAGGAGCCTGCCTCAAGTGTAGTCAAGGAGAAAGTCTTTGTCATCCCATATGGGCCATAAATGTATGGCCACTAACATGAGAAACAAATATTAATAAAATAAAAAATACTCTCTCAAGAGATATAAGTGAATGCAATATACAATCCTGAATTGAAACCTGACTAGAGTTTACTTATTTTTCATTTTTGCTACTAGTGAGACAGTTGGTGAAATTTAAATATAGCTCAGGCTAGAAAATAGTGCTGTATTGATGGTTAAATCTGGATTTTGATTACGTAAGAATGTCCTCATTGTTAGAAAACACTCACTGAATAATTTTTCAGTAAAGGAACATCGTATCTTCAGCTTATGCTCAAATGGTTTAGGAAAAAAGTATATACAGAAAAACAGCAGGGTAGGCAAACATGGGCAAATGTTGGCACATGGAGATTCTGGGTGAAGATATATGATGATTCTTTATACTATCTTTTAACTTTTCTGTGAATCTGAAATTGTTTCAAAATAAAATTTAAAAAAATTAACAAAAAATTTTAAAAATCATGCAAGCTTAACTACTAAGTCCAGTGCTACCTTTTCCAGGAAGGCACTTCAACCAATCTGCCTTAAGGTAGGTAACACAGACCATGATTTCCTTGAATTTCTCTTCCGCTCTGATTTCTTCAAAGCTTCTTCTTCCGTTCTCCTCTAGAGGCAGCATAGCAGGAGAGGATGATTGTGAACTTCTGAACTCACAAACCTGGATCCAAATGCTGTCCCAGCCACTACCCACTGGTGGGAACATGGTCATCACAGCCTCTATTAATGTCAGATTTTTTAATCTATACAATGGTCACAACAAAATATATTGCATACAGTTGTCATGAGAAACATAAGCATACCATAAGTTCTGATCTAGAAGGAGCTCTTAATTTCCCTCTTTTCTCTTTTCTTGAATCAGTCTCTCAACCTCCTTGGGACATAGGTAAAAATTTGATAACGATTCTCAGAAAATTTCTTTAGAATTTATCACCATAATTAATATTGACAATTTACAATGTACTCTACAGTGCTTGATACATAGTAGCCCCTTTGCAAATGTTGTTCATGGGGCAACACTTGCCCTCAAGTTTTCTCACCTGACCATTCCAGCATCCCTATGGAGTAGAAAGGGACCTATTATTATCTCCGTTTTTACAGATTTGGAAATGGAGCCCCTAAAGAGTTGAATGACATGCTTTACTTCTAGGATACCTGTCTGACAACTGGTAAAGTCTGGAAGTAAATTTTATTAATTATTGCAAAGTCAAGTTTACCACTGCACTTACATCCAAACTAGAACATGGCAAATAAATCTTACAGCCTCCATTAGATGCATGAATCCACTGGATCTCCTCCATCCTTTCCAAGCTATTCCACAAACTAAAGCTATGGAACATCTACTTTGAGCCAGAGAAGAGAGGAGAAACTTTCCAATTCAGACCCATGTTTATATTAGTGTCTATTTACTATTTGCTAGCCATCCCTCTTTTCTCAATCCAAATGTCCTTTTCATGGCTGTAGCTGCCCTCACTCCCAGAACTACATTTCTATCTCCTGCAGGTGTCTGGGCATCATGGGGCACAGCCAGACTTACAGCTTGGAAGCTGGACCATATCAGCTGAGTCCGCAGCATTCCAAATTGCTGAAGACCCTTTAATAAAAGGAAGCAAAACGGGCTACTTAATTTAACAGAGAAACAGACAAACCTAATTTGGGAGGGCAGTGGCTCCCAGAGCTGCTGAAAGCGGGATATATTATTTTGCCATTCTGGAAGCTTTAGCAACTTGGAAATCTAGCATCTTGAGCCTGAACATACCTGAGTTTTCATGATAGACTATCTTAGATTTACATGCGCTTTTGAATAGTTTGGATAAGATGGTTGTCCAAACTGTTCACTTAGTGACATTTACTTAGTTGGAAAAACCAGACCTCTTTGGCTAATTAAACATGACATAATCGTACCCAAACCCTACGTTTCAGATCCCTCTGTTCATACCTACTGTCCACTGGGATAGGTACATACCTAGTGTCCACTCTGGGATAGGTACAGCCTTGTTTTCACTACTCCCCAAAGTACTATCTTGCAATATGCGTTTTTACACGAATGAAGGAAATGATTTTAAAAATCCCAATGAGTGATATTAGGAAGAAGTACCAAAAGTTCACCAACTTATTTTTGTGAATTCTGTAAAGGATGTCATCCAGTTTCTTCAGCATTGAAGGACATTACGCAACAGCAGCAGCCCCATTGCCCTTTTATTAACCTGTAGCCAGAATGGGACTAGGCGGCTGGGATTCGCCTGCTCGCCTCTCCTGGGCGCCCGGTGCAGCTCAGATTAAGCGCAGCAGGGTAGGAGTTTGAGGACGGCAAACCTTCCTGCATCCGAGGGAGGAGTCCCGGAGAGGACCCCCTAGGGTGCAGCCTCCGATGTAGTACCAAGGAGGGCCAGGGTTCCTGTGTCTGCCTGGAGCGCAGAGGACGGGACTGCAAAAAGGTAGGAGGCAAAGCCAGCTCGAGTGTGCCACGGCCCAAGTGTCGCCTCGTCGGCGAATGCTCACGCCCACTCCAGGGCCGAGACCCCTCCTCCTCCTTTCGCTTGAGCCCTTCGTGGCTTCCAGCACCACCGCGCGCTCCTAGTCCCAGCGAGACTCTCCAGCCGGGACAGACTCTGAGGGAGCGGGACCCGGCAGGATGGGCGGGGCCAAGCCCTTCCCGGGCCCGCCCCTTGGCAGTGCGGCGCGGTGACTGGACGCGTCGGAAGACTGCCTTCCAGGTCGTCCCCGAGAGTGACAGGCGGCCCGCCGCTGCTCCCGGGCGCGCGGGGTGCTGAGTGCGGGGCAAAGGGCCCAGAAGGATGGGGATCCCGGTCCGCAGCGCGGCCGGCTGGGAGTGCCCGTTGGGATTTGGGTACCCTGGAGCACGGCAAGCTTGCGGTTTCTGATGCCGGCTAGGCGTCTTGCTGCGCTCGCTGGAGTGCCAAGAGCATTTGGGAAACTAACTTCTCGCCCCCACTCCTTGCTCCCGACTTTCGGGTGGAAAAGCAGTTGCCGAATTATTTTATTTCCTCCCCCATCGGACTTTGCAAAAATAGCCGTGCGCCGGGGCGGCCGAGTCCGTCTCTGCCGCACCGCTGCCCCGGGTCGGGTGTGGACCTAAAAATACCCGGCGGTCCCGAGCCTGCGCTGGGGGTGCAGGTGGGTCCGGCCGGGCCGCAGAGGGCGTCTGGAGACCAGAGAAACGGCGGCCGCCTGGCCCCTCGCCTCGGCCGGGGCTGTCCCTTTAAATCCTGGAGGAGGCAGAGAGAAAAAAGCAAAGAAAGAGAAAAGACGCGGAGACCCGAGAGGCTGGCAGCGGTGCCCGACCCCCCACTCCGCCCCCGCGCCGGGGCCCGACTCCCGCCCGCCGCCTCCGTGGGTCCCGGGCGCCCCCCGCGGCGCCGCCCACTCGCCACAGTTACTGTCAAAATAGAAATTAGCGGAGCTGGAGGGGGCTGGGGCGCAGCAAGTGCATGTGTGGCGGGGAGGCGGCAGGCGCGAGTGACAGGCGACCGCAGACATCCGGGCCCTTTAGCCCCGTGCGATCCCCGAGCAGGCGGCGCGGGCGCGGGGCTCCGGGCGCAGGGCGCGGGGCTGACAGCCGCGGCGCGGGAGGCGGGGCGCGGGGAGGGCGGAGGCGCGGCGCGGGGAGGGAGGAGCTGCCCGCGCGCCCGCCGCCGCTGCTCGGCTCCACACCCGCCGGCGCAGCCCCGCCACGAGACTCTGACAGCGGCGCGGCCGGCGCTGCTCCGGCGCGCAGGGACCGGCGGACCCCGGCGGAGAAGGAGGACGCGAGGACCGCGGCTCGGGGCCAAGTGCGGGAGGCGAGCAGGGCCGGAGGCGCGCGGAGGTGAGCGGCTTCGCGTGTTTGACTCGGGCTCCGGCTGCCAGAGTCGCGGTCTCCCTTGCACCTCGGCAGCCGAGGAGGGTCGGGAGGTCGTGGGGCGCCGGGAGGGTAGCTTTGCCACGGCCACGCAGGAAAGCGGTCGCGGGGGCGGTTGCTAGGAGGCCGGCGGTCCGCGCTTTCCGGGGCGCAGGCGGGGCAGGGGCGCCCTCCGCGCGGCGGGCAGGAGGCGGGGGGCTGCGGTGGCTATTCAGGGGCTCCGTGCGGCAGCCATGCAACCGAGGAGGCGGGAGGAGGGAGGGAGGGAAGGAGGGAGGGGAGAGCCAGCGGAGAGCGAGCCAGCGAGCGGGCGCCGCGCCTCCTGGCTGGCACCGCGGCCCGGAGCGAAGTGGCGCGCGGGGCTGGAAAGGAACTTATGCGGGCGCGTGCGGTCCGGGGCTCCGCGGCGCCTCCGGGCCCGAGCGGGGCGGGCCGGTTGGCAGCCACAGGTGGTTAGTGCCAAAAGTTTTACCGCACTTCTGCCGGGAAAGCGTGGGAGCGTTTTGGTGAGTGATGTTTTCCTGGGAGTTTGGCAACCGCACTTCACGCTGTCTTTTCTTCAAAATTGGAAACTGAGCTGGAAAGGCTGGGATCCCGCACCTCGCGATGAGATCTGAGCACCGAGTAGCGGTCCCTGCCCAAGGCGGCGCTCAAACGGGACTCAAAGATCTTTGCTGCTGTCAAATTGTGAAGCTGGCGGAAATGGGCGCGCACACACAGCTCCTCCAAGCCTTGGACAAGTGAAGCAGAGCCCGGCCCAGTACCTGTCAGCCGCGCAGGGTAGTGCGGGGTCTAGTCCCAGCTACACGCAGGAGAACTGCGCGCGTCTTCACTCAAGGTGTGCACGTCTCTTGCTCCGTTGAAAGCGAATTGTCTCCGCCGCTGTGGTGCTTTGTTTTTCCGGCTGTTTGTCTGATTTTACTAGGATGAAGGCCAGGAGGAGCCAAAGAAAAGCGAACCTGCAGCTCTCCTTATCTTTGCAATTTGCAAAGCTGTGGAGGCTGGTACCCAAGCTTTCGCAGCGCGGGCGCAAGGCGGAGGGGAGCTGGGGGTGAGTGGTATGCGCTGCCTGTCTAGGAAGCCTCGCCGGACCATGTGCAAGGCTAGAGCTGGAGTTTCTAGTGCTTCTAGGACGGAAAGAGGGGTGGGAGTGGGAAGGGAAGACCCCTTAATGGAGGAAGATATACTGTGCCCAGCCCTGGGAGAGAGGCTCCGAGAAGTCCTGTGGCTTGGCCCTGTTCCTCATTGACGGGGTCGAGGAATCCAAGGCAGCCAGATAGAACCACCTCGGTAGGTCGTCCTGGTCTAAAAGACATCATTATTCCCAGAGCGTCCGATACCCGGGTGTTGCAAGTACATACAAAACTGCTTGAGAGGTGGAAACTCTCAGTCCTTCGTTCTCCTTGGTCCAGCAGCTCCCGCTCCCTGCTCCCTGCCCCCTGCCCCCACGAGTACACGAGCAAAAACCATTGCTCTTTGCTTTATAGAGGCCACAGGATTTTGAAGTTGAAAGTCACCCTAGAGATATTAGGAGCATTCATTTTACAGATGAGCAAACTCAGGCCCAAGGAAGGAAAGTGACCTGCTGCAGTGGCTAGAGACCCAGTGAGACCAGAAATGACATCAGCCTTCCAGGCAAGGGTGGAGAGACTTCCCTGGGCAAGGCCTGGTAGGGCTTGAGACCAGAAATGCCATCCCCATACCCCAAGCCCATCATGGACTCATTATCTGGTACTTTCTAAATCCATGCTTGCCAGCTAATGTGATATATTTCCTGTCCCCTGCCCTTGCCTTATAAAAAGCAGGACTGTCACTGCAAAGTCCAGTCTGATACTATCCCAACTTTTCTTGCTCCCTCATTATCCCAAATTCCTCAAGCTCCTTTTGTAACATAATGCAGCTTGATTAGCCAAGAAGTGTTTGCAACCTTTTTCACTGAAGCCCCACTTTCCATAGGATGCCAGAACTCTGTTTTCCTGGTAATTAGATTTTACAGATATTTTTGAAAGGGAGCCCAATTTTGGATCAATTACACTTGGACACAAATGCTGTGCTGTTGTGGATACCGAATGAGAAAGACGAGCAGTTATCTGGGGGTGCTGGAATAAATGTTGTTACGGGTATTTGACACAGCCATTAAACATCAATGAATGGGTTTTCAGTAAATGTTTTTTACTCTGCATTTTATTGAGCAAACAAAAGCGTCTAAATTAAAAAGAACTCCAAGTTGGCCACTTCGATTTTAGCCACTTATTTTGTACCAGTGTGTATGAGTAGGAAGGAATTGAATGATAAACAGAGTGATTATTACATGAACTTTTTACTTCCAAACTATAATATTCTAGGGTGATGCTAGATTTCAGTCTATAATGTCATCTACAGTCCAGCAGAAGTTTATTAAAATAAGCTGGATGCAGTGTGTGTCAATCTGTATTAGTCAGAAATGACTTGCAAGAGAGAATATTTTTGTAAGTTAGATTGCTTTCAAGGACATGCAGTATCAAGAATTCAAGGCTAGCGCAGAGCTGCCGGGTAAAATTCTTCTGCTCTCATGAACAGATAAGAATCAGTGCCCTCCCCCCCGCCCCCTGCATCTCCACATCTCCTGTGTTTACCGGTTCTACAGAAGAAATTAAGATCTGATAACCCGATGATAATACAGTGTTATAATGCTTTTCACTTTCATTGCATGCTAATTACATCAGCATTCCCACAAGATAGATAGTTCAGCTATTTGTTCATATCACAGAGGGAGAAACTGAGGCAGAAAGATGGGGAGAGTATTATTCCTATAACTTTTCCCACTGAATTAACATTCTGAGCACCTTTGGGCTTTCTGGGCTGACCAGGGTATAAGAGACCCCCTAGTAATGTTGCCGGCCCCTCAGCCCTCTCCAGCATGGGTGGCGTGGAGGGGGTATGAAGGAATGGTGGGGTTGTAGTTACAGTTCACTGGAGGCTGTCACTAGGGCATTCTTGTTCCCTGCCCCCGGCTGAGGGTGGGCAGTTGTCCTCCCTCTCATAGCAGGCTGTGGGAACTTGGGCGCGGAAGGACCAGCTGGCTGAGGCTGGGGCGGGGGTGTGGGATCTGTGCCTGTGTAGGGCTGAAGGAGTCCAGGCTATTTATAACCCCTCCTCCCCTCCTGGGAAGAAGAGACTCAAGGGTCTGAAACCATCTGCAGCACTGACTTCTCCCAGGATGGCTGTGTCCCACTGGAAGGAAACCTATCTACTAACCACATGGACAGAGGACACCTGGGTCAACCCCTACCTGTGTGTGGTGTCCTGCAGGGCTTCTTGGAGTGCCAGTTGCCCTGGGGGAATTCAGGATACAAGGATTTTCCACACTTGATCTTATCCAGAAGGCTGAGAAATGATGGGTTACAAGGATTTTCTAGAGCCACTGTGTGTACTTTTTGTCAGATACTAATCTCCCATTTGCACAAAGTGAGCTACACCTCAGAAATCTCATAGGGGAGAACTCAAGAACTCATTAACACAAGGGTAGTTGGCTTTTCTAAATAATGACAACTGATTTTTATGCAGGAGATTTTGTAAGTGGCGAATTAGCTGTGGTTCCCTCTGACTCCAAGCTGAGTCATTTCTGTGTGGGGCTGGTCGAGGAGGTTTGAGGCATGCATTCAAAGCTCTTTCCTTCCTCCCCTGACTGCCCCAGATAGGTTCCCGATGGCCCCTCACCCACCCACTCTTCAAACCAGCACCAAAGTCCTCCCTCCTTTGTCTGGAATAAATAGTACCTGCCATGCCATCAGTTACAACTTCATTTCTGAGGCCAAACAGATTTTTTTCCCTGGGTTGGTGGAGAGAGGAATGAGGTTGGGGTGGAGTGGAGGAAGCTGGCAAGGCACTGAGCTTGTCTTTCTGTTTAACCCTTTGGTGTGAATTGATCCGCCCATCGGAACTGTTTCAGGGGCTCACAGCAGGTTTTATCAGGGTGAACTTTAGTAGAAGGCTGTGGATGGAGAGGTCAGGGCAGGACAGCTGTGGCTGTGGGTGGCACCTGGCCAGCTTTTCACAGGCCTCATATGCTGAAGTGTTTGAGGGCAGGGCTGGCATGTTGCTTGTCTTCGTGTCCTCAGCATCAGCAAGGCCTGGACATGGAAAACGTTTGCTGAATGAATGCTTCGGGCTGGGCATGCATGGATGGGTGGACAGCAATTGGATTTGCATCTTCTTTGCTGTACTCCATGGCAAGGTGAAGGGGGTGTTGGGAAGTACTAACCCCCTTCTAAAGTAATAGAAGCGGAATGTAGATAAGAAGAGATGGGGTTCCTATAGGCATTGTGAGAGCCCTGAGGCCGAGCTGATTAGCCTCTCCGTACCTCTTAACCCCAGTGGATGTTGGGGAGCATCCATTCATCAGTTCAACAGGTAGTGATGAAATCCTTCTCTATAGGCTGTCATGGCACATTCCAGTCTCACAAAGCAGGCAGAGTGAATTTCCTTTAGAAAGGCAGACCAGGCCACTCCCTTTCGTAACCAACCATGGGCATGAGGGATCTGGTCCCTGCCTGCATCTCTGACCTCCCCTTCACTCCCTGTTCTCACCCTTCTGTCTCTTTTTTGATTCTTAAACATATTGAACTCATGTGTTTCTGGCTCGCCTGTTCTCTTTGTCTGGAATGTTCTTCCTTCAGATTTTCCCATAACTGCCTTCTCCACTGACACATCACCCTGGACTATATTCTTTACAGCATCTGACACTATCTGGGATATAAACTGTCTTTTTTAAAGGCTTAACATCATTTTTTATTTGACAATGCTTCCCTTATAATTTAACATACCAAGTAGGCCTGTTTATCAGCTTTCTTTTGGATGCTTCAGGGGCCCTTTTTAATTTTTTTATTTCGTAGGTTTTTGGGGAACAGGTAGTATTTGGTTACATGATTAAGTTCTTTAGTGGTGCTTACTGAGATTTTGGTGTACCCATCACTAGAGCAGTGTACACTGTACCCAGTATGCAGTCTTTTATTGGATATAATCTTAATTCTCCTTTTGTTTATTGTCTGTCTTCCCCTACTAGAGTGTAAGCTCCCTGAGGACAGGCACCTTGTCTGTTTTGCAACCTGTTGGTCTCCTCCTGGGCTATCCCTGGGCATATTCATTTACCAACTACGTGCTCAGACACTGTTATGTGCTAGGCACAGCAGAACAGTGCCTAGCACACAACAGTGTCTGAGCACGTAGTTGGTAAATGAATATGCCAATCAGTGCTGTTGGGGTATATGAACATGAGTCAGCCCAAGGCCCTGCCTTCTGGATCTTTTCAACCTAGAGGCAGAAATGAAGCTTGTTCTTACGTACACTCATGTAGGCAGGGAAGGAAGGTAACACTCAAGAGGTATAGCCCAGGAGGGCCATTGCTGAGAAGTGTTAGCCCTGATTTGACAAGGTGGTTGGCTTAGGTAGTTGGGGTCTTCTTTCAGATGTTCTGTTGGGAGTGTTGGAGCTCTGGCAGCTGACTCACCTCCAGGGCTGGAGTTCCTCTAGCTTGACTGGCCACCACCTCTCTCTCTGTTTATTTAATTCTTTGGTGGGCAAGAGCTCCAAGCATAATGCCATCCTTGGAGAGTCAGGAATGTTGTGTTTTTCCACCCGCTTCATTCATTGGCAGCCTCCTCAGAACAGCTGTGGACAGCTGTCTGCCAGCGTGGATGTAGGGAGGGTTTCTCTTTTGGGCCAGGGGCACACTCAGCTCTGCAGGAGCAGGGAATTCATTCGTGGTTCACACCCTACTGATTTCCAAACCCCACTGAACTGGTGCCTGTAAAAACAGATTCATGAGCAAATTAAAAAACTATTAGCATTCAGTTTACT